TGATACTTCACATTTTACCCATGGCTGGCTTTTATAACCATCTTCTAAGAATTACACTTAAAAGATTAAGCTTAAAAGATTATACTTTATTTTTTATATAATATAATGCCTTATTATTTTCACTAATGAATGAAAAACAAAAGAAAATGTCTTCAGTGACCTCTAGTAGGAAGAATTTGTAGGTGTTTCTTTGCATTTACCCACATTTCTTCGTGGCACTCATTTGTTTTAGTGTGTTAGCACTTACACACAAAGATAAAGAACCTGCATATATACACTGAGCCCCACAAGGAAATAGGATCATTTGTTTTTATGTAACACTAATGTATGATTTAATTTTTAATGATACTTATTAAATCTCTAGATACAAAAACTGCATAGTAAGAAAAGTTCTGAGTTCTGCACAGCAGGGGGAGATACAATCCATAGAAAAGAAAGGTTTTCAATTGAAAAAAAAAATGACAAAGTTACTGGACAGATACTTTTTTAAGGAATCTAAATATTTAACCTTTTACTGTTACTGTTAAATCCTAACTGCTGCTTAGGCACTACTGCTTTGAAATTTATGTAGTTACCACAGTTTTAAAACAGGCAATCACACCTTAAAGATAGAACGAACTGATTTGTAAGTACTTGTTTAAGAATAATCAAGCAACGAAAAAATAGGGAAGCTACTTTTTATGGTATGTGAAGAAGAAAGACAACTTACATGAATTGCATTATAAAGCCTGTAAGCAAAGTAGGAAGGCTTGTCACGAACACAGAGAACTAGGAGAGAAACATTGCAACAGGTAAACATAAGATAAAAGTAAGATAAAATCAATTCTATTGGCTTTGGACTCCTTGAAATATAAAGCTGGGTAGTGCTGTCCATGACTCAGCTTAAAACTAAGCTACCAGTTTTCACAACACATGACTATATTTATAGTTTTAAAAGTCTGGTACTTATTTTGGGTGGGTACTCATTAGTGTTGCATTGAAGGGCTTATTAAATATCAGTGAATATGCTCACATGACATTTTTGTAGAAATATTATTATCCTTACTCTATAAATGGAAAACAGGCACATAAAGCTTGGAACTTGTTTATATACCACTCAAGTCCTGAAAACTTTGCCAGTTATTTAATATGTGTATAATCAGTTGGTAATGCAGTTATTATCGATCACACAAAATTGGTTATCAAATAAGGAACAGATACTAGTTCTGCTCAGTCAGAATCTAATGCTGCATATATACATTTTTAGATTTGCACAAACATGGAAAAGTAGTTCAAATATTCTTTTCTAATTATCTCTGAAAATTTAATTACACAATATAAGAGAGTAAAGTGGATAAAAATATCAGAAAAATAATATTCTTGATGCATCAGAGATACCATACTAGATATTTATTAAGAGATTACTACTAATATAAAATAATATTTTTACGTTACCTATTGCAACCAGTAATTCTTGAAAGTATCCATCATAACATTCATTAATGGCATCTACTATGTCTTGCCCAGAGATATTTTGGAACTCCTGGAAAACTTGGGGGAAAAAAAAATCTTGCTTTATTCTAGTTCTTTAATAATGATCAACTTGCCTTTTTTTTCCTGCTTCCCCCCAGTACTCTAACTATTGAGTTTATTTTTTTCCCTATTTATTCTCAGTGTTGCCTTATGTTTACATCCCCCAGGTAAGGCAATCTAAGTGAGTAGCCTGAAACCTGGCTTCCAGGACATTCTCTCTCTGGGTTCTCCAGTATACAGTATAAAATGAATGCACGCCAAAGCCTTTGTTTCACTGGAAGCTTTAATAAATTCTTTATCTAGCAACCTCTGTTTATGAAACTTGTAAGAACGTCATGTCATTAAGACAAATTCCTTGCTCAGCTTGGCTAAAACTGGCTGGAGATTCAGAGATTGTGACAGAAGCCGTGGCATGACATGCATACCATGTTAGTATCCAGACGTGGACACTCTGGATCATGCAGGTATCCAGACTTACACACACAAATATAGAGAGCGTGCTTACTCCTTTAGGGAAGGAGGAAAATTTTCAACTCGCTGCCCACTATAAATCTTATGGAGGACTACGTTACATGCAGAGCCCTCAAATCTCTGTTACAGAAAGAGAGTAGAGCATAAGCAGGTGTGTTACATTATGTTAATCCTATCATCACCAGCCTTACAGAAGTTATGATAGAAGAACTAATTTGTTGATCCATGACAGCAAAGTAGCTCTAAGCTACTGTTAGAAGTTGGCATAAGAAATACAGCTGGCTGCACAGTGATAAACTTGTCACCAAACACAGTTTTTCCACTGCAGAGCAAAAGACATTTCAAACTTGTCACCAAACAGATACAACAGGTTTCTTTTCTACAGTGGAAGATCAGGATGATCTCATACAATTTTCTTGCAATCTGTAATTATGTCTAATTATCTATTTTCAATAAAAATGTCCCATTACGTTTCTGTGTGTATGTTCATTACAAGAGAGCGGATGTGGACCCTGAAGTGCTCCCATCAAAAACTTCTTTGAAACTTCCATGGTAAAGCTTCAACACAGCAATGTGTTTTCAGGTACAAACATTTGTTGAAAATACTCCAACAGCCTCTCCCAAGGTGTTTCCACTCATAGAAAAGAGTTACTTAGGAAAAATGAAGAAAATAGTTAAGAAAAATCTGCCTGATCCTGTTGTGTTGTGTGTAAACGCAGTACAGCCATAGCCTATGCCTTTCTTTGGTCGTGCATTCTTCTCTCTGTTATTAGGCATCCTGATGTCTGTCTGTTCTATCTACAGCTGTCTGTAGTCATCAGGCAAAGTTCAGTTTTGCATTACTGCCAAAATCCCATTAACATCAGAGGGAGTCTGAGAGCTCCAACAGTTCACACTGAGGTTTCAGGCTAATACCCTGCTGCACACTGAGCTTCTTGGTATGTCAACTCTGTTTTATTAGCAAGTCAAATTTTATCTTTCTACTC